AGGTCCAGGCTCCTGGGTGGCTCAGTTGGTTAAGCAACGGCTTTTGGCTCAGGTCATGATCCCGGAGTCCTGGGATCAAGTCCTGCATTGGGCTCCCAGCTCCATGAGGAGTCTGCTTCTCCCTCTGACCTTCTGCCCTCTCATGTTCTCTCCAACAGTCTCTCTCTCAAATAAATAAATAAAATCTTTAAAAAAAAAAAATCCTCTTTAAAAAAAAAAAAGAGAGAGAGGTCTGCTAAATGTAGCCCCAAAGCGTACAGGCGTGTTCACAGGCTACCCCTACAGGAAGAAGAGGGCATTGACTAATGCCGGAAATGCCTTGCTTATGATGGATTTTCAAGTGCCAAAGACCCGCACCCCCAGCTCTGAGACCTGAGAATGACACCATCTGGGTGAGGTCTTTATAAGCTCCCCCCGCACCCGAGGAGAAACCCCCTGGGGCACAACACACAGTCCACAGCCCTGGCTTCCAGTCCCGGCTCTGCCACTGAAGGGCTCTGTGGCCTTGGCCATGTTCTCCTACCTGAACAGTGAAGCAAGTGGATAACACGCTCTCCACTGCCCCGCTGCAGCTCTAAAGTTCTATGTTCAGGGGCGCCTGGGTGGCTCAGCGGGTTAAGGCCTCTGCCTTCGGCTCGGGTCATGGTCCCGGGATCCTGGGATCGAGCCCCGCGTCGGGCTCGCTGCTCAGCGGGGAGCCTGCTTCCCTTCCTCTCTCCGCCTGCCTCTCTGCCTGCCTGTGATCTCTGTCTGTCAAATAAATAAATAAAAAAATAAAATCTTTAAAGTTCTATGTTCAGTGAAAGGTGGAGATGGTTCTCAGAATTAACAATACAAAGCATGTGCCTTTTTAGTTCCTGTTGGCTCGAGTTTCTGCCTCCTGGACAGAAACTGGGAAATAGGTGTGTTTCTAACTCCCTGTTAGAAAGAATCACAGAGTTGTGGGTGGCTGGCTGGCAGGAAACCTTAGTGATTATCAAGACCCATGTCCTAGCTCCCTTGCTCTTTCAACAAAAATTCACTACGCACTCATCATGAATAGAATACAACCAAGTTCACTGATTTATCCACGGTGCCCAACACAGTGCCTGGCATGTAGTAGGTGCTCATTAAATATCGGTTGAGTGATGGGCAGTTTCTTGCAGGAAAGTCATCTAGAAGAGCCTCTTAAATGCAGATTCCTGGTCTGCTGTATTGTAGTCTCTGGTAACAGAGCCCAGGTGACTGTCATGCCCTCCAGAATTTGAGACATGGTTATAGCATTCTATGGTTATAGCATATAGAATAAAGCATTCTTCTACTATCAGAAGGGAGAAAATGCTGATGTTTTTAATTTGGTGCATTTGTCAGTAGTGACTGTAATAGTCAAGAGAAAAAGGTTCATTTTGGTGGAGCCATTTCTGTGGAGCCTGGACGAACCTGGGCTTTGCCTGGTGTGTGTGCAAGGCAAACTTTCACTTATCTTGGGAGAGTCAGGGCCAATAAAAAGGCAGAGCAGATAGGAGTGAGCCACATGAAGTCCAAGTTTGGCATTATTATTGCCCTTCATTTGGAAGTCATAAAATAAGAAATGTGCCACTGTACCAGCTTCTTGGGAGTGGTTAGCTGGTGGTGGTGGTGGGGTGTTTCTCAATTCCTTTCAAGGGTCTGTGGCTTGGACCAGATACAGGCTTGGGTTTAGATCTCAGCTGTGTCCCTAACTTCTTGGTCTCGGGCCGATCACTTCAGTCCCTCGTAAGCTTTAGGTTCCTCTGCTAGAAACTGGACATGAGAAGGCGGGCTCCTCAGGGCTGTTGGAAACAAGCTGAGACCATACACACTTAGGCACCTTGCACCTGTGCAGTGTGGAAAAGCTCGGTTCGGGTTGATACCTATAAACTACACTGTATTTTGGCTGTAAGGCTTAGTAGAGGTTCATTTAGCTCAGCTCTTTTGATTTAAAGTGAAACAGCCTCCTTTGCTTAAAGGAAACAGCCTGACAGAGGGCAAGGGAACTGCACAAGATCACACCTAGCTCCTTAGGTTTCTGGAGGACTTCTATATTCAATGAAGAACTTGACATTCCGGGGTGCCTGGGTGGCTCAGTGGGTTAGAGCCTCTGCCTTTGGCTCAGGTCATGATCCCAGGTCATGATCGAACCCCGCATCAGGCTCTCTGCTCAGCAGGGAGCCTGCTTCCCTCTCCCTCTGCCTGCCTCTCTGCCTACTTGTGATCTCTGTCTGCCAAATAAATAAATAAAATTAAAAAAAAAAAAAAAAAAAAAGAACTTGACATTCCTCTGTGGACCAGAGAGGGTGAAGAGGCTGAACTTGTAGGTGGCCTCTGATGAAAGCATTTTGAAATACTTTTTTTTTTTTTCTTAAAGATTTTATGACCTGAGCTGAAGGCAGAGGCTCTAACCCACTGAGCCACGCAGGCACCCCTGAAATACTTTTGAAAAGAAAGTGACATTATCTCAGGTGGGGCGTCTTCTCACCTGAGTTGCTTGCCAGCCAGAAGCCCGTTCTGAGGACACAGGGATTGGTGAGAAATCCCTGAAGCTGGTCCATTTGCGGCTGTTCCTTCAACACCAGAGTTTTAAAGACAAAAGCTGCTCTGGGTGAGCGCTGTTGAGGCCTTCCTTGGGAGGCCCTGTCTGGTACTGCAGCTCTGCAAGGCCAAGGCCTTGGGGACTCTCCAGGTCTGGCTTCTCAGAGACAAGGGGCTCAGTAGTAGTCATGGGCCATACTGGATCTGGTAGAGACATCTCGGGAAACAGGCCTGCAGGGCTCTGACTGGGGTCCATGGGCAGTAGCAGCAAAGCCCATCGTGCTAATGGTGATGACCTTGGTGATGGTGGTGATGATGATGAGGGGTGAGGAACTCTCCTAGTCGCCAGCGGCAGGGCCCAGCCACTTGTTTTACATGCACAGATTCTGGCCACCCTCATAGGAACCCTACAGGGAAGAAACTGTGCCCCAGAGAGGTTAAGCAAATAGCCAAGGACACATTTTGAGGGAGCACCAAGATTCAAATCTGGACTTACTGGAGTCCAAGGTAGCCCGCAGCCCATGAGTGCTGGAAGAAAGGAAAGGAACACTGGCCAGTTCCTTCAAGGGACATGCATGTTACCCTCATTTTTATAGACAAAGAAACAGAGGAACAGAGTGTAGCTCTTTTTTCTGTGAGGTCAGGCACTGGGCCAAGCATTTTGCATAGATTACCTCTTCAATCATCATAACATCTCTATGAAGTAAGTAATTCTATGATCCTCACTGATGCAGATGAGTAAATCGAGGCCTGAAACTAGATGACTTGCAAAGGTTCAAAATTGGGCAGTCTGACCAGGGAGGCCATGCTCTTGACTTCTTGAGATGCCCAATATGGAGACAAGATATAGCAGGGCTGGCCCAGGATCCAGGACGCATGACTCCCAGGCTAGTGGTCCAAGGCTAGATGGAGGCTCTCTGTTGGGAATCATTGTTCCTTAAAAGCCCGCTGGCCTAAAGCCCAAAGAGTGAAATCACACCCTGCGGTTCTGGGAAACTCAGACTGGAAAAGAAGGAAGTTCTTGCTCTGGTGTTCAAGTCTGAGCAGGTGGACTGAGGACTCTCCCCGTTTCCTCCTCTGGCTGGGAGGGAGCCCACGCAGGGTGGGCCGGGTGGGGCAGCCCTCTGGAGTGCCAGAGGGGAGGAGAGCAGGAGGCAGGCGTGCCCAATGAAACTGGCCTAAATCTTCCCGCCTTTATGCCTTTATTCAGGCGGCGCCCTCATCTGCTGCCTGGCAAACAAATAGGAGGGCATGATGGTGAGAGTTCAAGGTTGCAGTCAGGAGTCTGGTCCTGGCACCACTGACTCTGGGCAGTTTTCTTATCTGTTCAGTGTGCGGTGCCAGTGGTGGGGAATCCTAATCCTCTGGGTTTTACAGTTAGCACAGTATTTATTAAGCACCTACTATGTGCCAGGCACTGGAGACACAGCAAATGCAAAGCAGATTCAGTCCCTGCTTTCATGGGTCTTAGAGTCTAGTAAGATCTAATCTTCATGGGAACAAATGTAAAATGGCATCTGTGGCCAGTGTTTTAAGGGAAAGGCCTGCAGAGCTAAGGGAGCCCATGAGACCCAGGGTTGGGGGCGGGGGGAGAGAAGGAATGGGTTGACTGTCTGAGTGGCAGTAGGGAAGGATACGCTGAAGATGTGGTTACTAGGTGAATGGGCCCTGTGCAGGGGACAGAACTCTGTGTGTAAACCTGTTGTGAGATGGTTCATCAAAGGAACTGGGAGGCCAGGGGGCCTGGGGAAGCCGGCAGGAGCTTGGGCACCTCAAGTTATTGTGGGCCATGGTAACAGAAGTCACTTAAGTTTGGTGGGGGGCGGGGGGGGCGGTAGGGGAGTGAAGGAAAACTTGAAGGAGACGGTCAAACTTAACAGAATATGGATCAATGCGTCCTTCGAGGTAAAGAAAAAAAAAAGGCCACCCCCTCTTTGAGCCTTCCCTGATTTCTCCACCTTTGACCTATGGTGTTCCTCCCTCTCTGGGCTTGCAGCTCAGGTAGAGAAACTGGAATCGCTCAGGCAGTCAGACCTGAGCTTTGTCTTCCTGCCACTGACATGCACCGTGACTTCACACACAGTCTACCTTCTCGGGCCTCAGTTTCCCCAGCTGTGCAGAAGCAGGTTGTCTCAAAGGACCCGCCCAGCGCTAACGCAACGTGATTCGCTCCGGCAGGAGCAGGGGGCTGCCCGCATTGCTGCGCAGGCATCGGGCTGCTGTCTGGGGCATCGTCACCGGCTGCGGGCGCTTTCCTCCCGGCCGTGGGCTGCGGGCGAGGACAGCGGAGACAGACGTGGCGCAGGAAAGTGGGGGCGCGACCCCCGGCTCGCGCGGGCACCGCGCGGCCCCGCCCCCGCAGCCAGAGGCCCTGCGGCAGCCCGGGCCTGAGCTCCGCCCTCCGCCTCCCGCCGGCCTCGCTCCCTCCTCCCGCCTCCCTCCCTCCCTCCCTCGTTCCCTCCCCCCGGCCGGCTCGGCGCTGACTCCGCCGCACGCTGCAGCCGCGGCTGGAAGATGGCGGGGAACGACTGCGGCGCGCTGCTGGACGAAGAGCTTTCCTCCTTCTTCCTCAACTATCTCGCCGACACGCAGGTACGGCCAGCAGGGGCCGTAGGCCGGGGTACAGGGGTGCTGAGCTGCGGGGGCTGCCGCCGCAGCCGCGGAGGCCGGGAGGCAGCGGTGGGCGCATTGGAGGGAAAGGGGGTGCCCGCTGCAGAGCCCCCCTTCCATGCGCCTTGCGATGCTCTGTTACAGAGGCAGGGAGTCGGAGCCCCCCCCCCCGCACCGCGCAAGCCGGAGCGTGGGGGCCGCTACGGCCGCCGGGGAGGGTCTAGCCTCGCTCGCTTGGAGTCCGCTCCCCCCGCCAGCAGAGGTGGGGGGTACCGCGTTTCCTTGGGGAGGTGGAGCAGCGCCAAGGTGTAGGGGACCCTGAGGCTGGCCCTGGGTGCCGGAGGCGCGCCCTCAGACTCCCGGCACTTGCTGCCGTACTTTCACGTGGACTTGGGGCCCGGGCTCAGGCGCCTGTCCCCGTCCCCGGAGTGCCCTGGTCCTCGGGTCTCCCGTACCCCGCGTGCTGCTGCTGGCCCCCCGCGGCTCCCCGTCGGCGCCCGCAGCGCGGAGTTTCCTGCCAGTTGCCGGCTAAGGGCTTAGGGGGCTGCGGGGCACGTGGACATGCCGGCAGAGATAGCACCTTCCTGGTTTCGCTACCGGCGGAGCCCCCCGGGAGGAAAGCACGGCAGGATGGGGGTGGAAAGACTGTCTGGGGGCGCCTGGGTCCCCCTGCGGCGCGCGGCCCCGGTGCGCGCTCAGCGATGCTGGGGGAAGGGAACGCGAGGCGGCGTCCCGGGCTCTGGCTGCGCCTGGGAGCCCCACCGGCGACACGCGCGTGACAGGAGAGGGTGCTTTGGTGTGCCGGGGCGGGGGGGGGGGGTGTGTGTTTGCGAGGGCGCTGATGTCTTAGAGACGAGGTGGGGGGCTGCTCCTGGGACAAGCTACCACCGAAAATGCCCGCGCTAGGCGTGCGCGCCCCCCACCCCTTCCTTGGTTTTCCCCACCCCATGCCTGTTGCAAGCATAAAGTTTGGCCCCATAGTTAGGGTTTTTTCTCTGGGCGTCTGGCTGCGGGTGGCCGGGAGGCTGGGGATGCGGCGGAGGCGAGAAGGAGACCCCGGATGCGGGCGCACCGCTGGACGCTGAGAGGGCCCGCCGGGCGGAACCGGGCGCGGCTCGCGAGGGCTGGTTTGGTACCTGGAGTCGGAGCGCCGGTGCCGGCTCGTTTTGCATAACACTGGAAGGGAGGGGGAAGGCGGAGGGGGAAGGCGGAGGGGGGGCGGGCGGTGGGAGGAGAGAGAGGGAAACTTTGCTTCTAGTTATAATCTGCCTGTCTTTGGGCGGCAGCAGCTGTCATGGGACCGGGTGGGCGGGGAGAGGCTTGCAAGCTGACTCCTAGCCGTGAGACGCGACTTGGAAGGGACGCAGCAAGCCGAGACGTTCAGCTTCGGGCGGCGACTCCCGGCTGGCGGCTGGGACGGCGCGGCGTGGCGGGTGTCGCCGAGAGGAAGCCCGCCACGCTCCGGAGAGGGCCGGCCCTCGCTCGCTGCAGACATCCATGCGTCAGGGAGCCGCGGGGCCTCGTGGTCGGTGGCGGGCGTGCTGGGGTGGTTTCGGGGCGGGGGCCGAAGGGCTGGTGGCGTGTGATCGCGCATTCTTCGGGCCGGGGGGGTAGTGTGTGATGAGCGGTCTGCGCGCGCGGGTGTGTGTGTTTGTGTGCACACGCCGCGCGCGCCAGGCGCGTACCTTTACCTCTGACGAAACTGCAGTGGAGCTCCCGCGGCGGTCACCGGGCGCCGTCGCTAGCCCCGCGCCCACGTCTGCTCGGATGGCAGATCTCAGTCCCAGCACCACCACCGCCCTGCTGCCCGTCTCTCGTCCCGCGTCCCCTGTGCCCCCACTCTCTACCCCCGGCCGGCAGCCGGGGCTAGAGGGACTGGGTGCGGGTGGGACCGAGTTCCCCTTGGGAAAGTTCTGTCCTCAGCCCTCCCACTTGCCTGGGGGCGGGGGGGGGGGCTCCAAACCTCTGGACTGAGACTCGGGTGAAGGAGGCCTGAGATAGCTGGAGACTCGTTCAGGGACCCCTAGCAGGAGCTGTCTGTTCTGGACCCTGGTTTTAACTCCATCTTTAGTGTTCTTTGGCTCACCGATAATTAACTATTTGTCCTCTTAGGCGCCCAGCGGGCTTACTCTGTAGGGATATTTCACCCAAGGAAACTAGAAAATTGGGTAATCAGGTGTCAGCAGAAGCAGCGCAGTGAAAGTTAATCTGGGACGTTTGCTTTTTTTATTTAACCACGTGACAGGCTGAGGCTCCTCCGGTGATCTTTGCCGGCCCAACTTGGGAAATGTAATTGATAGGGGAGCTTTGCAGCCACCCCTAGAAGGTTCATAGAGCCCAGCCGGAAGAGGACCTAGGCGGGCCATCACGTGCCTCCTCATTTTACAGTTGGGGATAGAGGCTGTGAGGGGTGAGCGGCTTTGTACAGGACCACGCAGCCAGCGGGTGACAGAGCCACCCAGGGCTCCTGACTCCAGGTCCTGTGTGTTACCTCGAAATAGCACTGGACTTGGAGTCAGAAGGCCTGAGTGGAGTCGCCTTCCCCACTCTCTGGCTGGGTGACCCCAGAGCAAGCCATTTTAACTCTCTGAGCCTCCTTTCCTCCATCTGTCAAATGAGGCTGGTGTTGCCGAAGAGAAGACCAGGTCGAGGTGGTGGGGGTGAGCAGTGCTTGCATGTGAGATGTCTGGGTGTTCTGGTGACTCCTCCTCCTCCTCCAGCCCCTCCCTAACCCTCCCCTCCATCTCCCCCTAGGAAGTGGTGGGGAAAGTGAATAAAAAGGTAATTTATTGTCTTTATCAGAAAGATTTGTCTTCGGTGGCTAATCCAGAGTCAGATAGAGTGAGGATTTCTGTTTAGGAGACTTAACTTTTACTCATTCAGGCCAAAGTTCAGAAATTCTGCAGACCAGGGATTGTGAAAGTTTCTTGGACAGGTTTGGGGCATGTCTCCCAGAGGACTTTGGGTTGGCTTCACCTTTGCCCAGCCTGTGCCCCTTGCCTCCAGTGCCCTCACCCCCCCCCCATTCCTGCATGGCCCTCTCGAGCAGGCCTTTCCAGGCTTGCCCTGCTTTCTTTTTCTTTTGGTTTTCTTAGTCTATGTTATGCAACCAAGTACTTTTTTGTATGTGAGTCCTGTGGCCCAGTAGAGGAGTCTGGAGCTAGAGTTGTGCCTTTTATCTCTTTGTGCCCCCATGGCACCTGCCACCATGCTGAGTTCCTTTGCTCAGCCCTTGGCTAGGCATGTGAATTACAGACAGGGGAAGAGGCCAGGGTGGCCCCTAAGACAGCTGGGCAGTGAGTATGGGTAGAGAGGAATGCAGAAAGCTATAGCTTCAGAGGCCACACAGTAAGCCCACACTAAATATGGGTTATTTGAAGTCACTTGGGACATCAGCCATAGATGCCCCAAATGTCAGAGTCGGCAGCAACTTTATAAATCATGTGGTCCAATCCCTTATCGCTGAAAAATACTTAATAGTAGAGTTAGAAAATACTGGCAAGCATAAAGAAAATATTGAAAATATGTAATCTTATCCAAAGGTAACCACTATTAATTTTTATATATATTTCCAGACTTTTCTTTCCTATCGATTCCTATGGATTCTGTTGGTCGCACAAAAATGAAGTCTTTCATTATATATTCATTGTAACTTGGAATCATACTGTTGTATTGCTTTTTTTCTCCTCCAGACAATATGCTGTGATTGTCTTTCCACATCAATAAATATTCTACTTCATGTCTTATATCTGAATGGTTATATAGTATTTTATTGAGGGTTGAACCACAATGTATTTAATCAGCCCTTTGTTGTTAGTCATTTAATTTGTTTATAATTTTTGTTGCTGTGCTTGTAAGCCACGTTAAATGAATGTCTCTGCATATGTCTTCTTTCCTTCATTGAAATTCCTAGAAGTGAAATTACTCTGTCAAAGGAACTTTGCAGGCGTTTGGTAAACACATTTCTGGATTGCCTTCTAGAAGGATTGTGCTAATTTACACACTTAACCAGCGTTGTGTGGGAATGCCTGGTTCCCCATAGCCAGATAACTCTTGATATTTTAATTGTTTTTCATTTTTGCCAGTCTGTTCATCAATAAATTCTTTGACCCTTTTGTTTTAATGTGCATTTCTTTGATCACTTGTGATGCTTCCCCCCCCACCCCCGCCCCATAATTATGGGCCACTTAGGTTCTGTTCTGTGAAATGTCATGTTTGTGAATTTGGCCCATTTTTCATTTGGGATCCTGTCCCCTTATTATTCTGAAACTGGATCTGAGTACTCAGAAGGGGCCCCATCACTCAGAGAACCGGGCAGGTGGCTTGAACATCTAGTGTCCAGTTCCTGGGTCTGCAGTGCTGCTGTTCCCACAGCCCCTGAAGCCGGGGCTAACTTCTTTTCCAATCCAAAGTTCCCGGCTCTGGAGGGGCAGGTGGAAGGGTAGCTGGCTACCCTTTGGCTGGCTGTCTTTGCCCACCCTCCACCTGTGTGAGAACAGGGGGAGTCACTTCTTCAGACCTGAGCCCAGAAGGGGACAGGTTTGCTGGCCTTTTGTACCTGAAGCAGGGGCTCTGCTCTCACTGGGGCTCCCTGGCTGGTACTGATGGTGAGGATGAACCCAGAGAGGCGATGGCCCAGCAGCAGGGCCCTGGGGGCTCCTACTTCCCCTTCACCTTGGGGCTCTGCTCTCCCCAGCTGGTGCAGGCCAGCCAGAAGCTCCACCGCTATTGCTGGGGGATGAGTCACCCTTTTCCCTCTCTCTTTGGAATAATAGAAGGGATACTGGTTTGAGTCAGAAGCAGCCTTGCAAATGGGGGCTTGGGCTTGGAAGTGAGGTCATAACGTGAGCATTGCAGTGTTCACAGCTAGCTCCTCCTGCATGGTCCTCCACATTAGAGCTCCCTTTAGATGCCATGTGCACCGCCAAGACTTTTTGCATGGTTGCATTTTATCCTTGTAAAGATTCTACAAAGTGGAGGTG